TTATTTGTCATTTTTTATTTGTTTTATTTATTGAATTACTATTTATTTGATTTTATTATTTATTTATTTATTTTTCTTGTTAGGCGAGTTTGGTTTCCTCAAGGAGCAACGTCGAACTAATGTAGCCGTCACTCGTGCTCGGAGGCACCTGGCAATGGTTGGAGACTCTGAGACTATCTCTCGTGAACCTTTCATTAAAGGACTTTTAGAGTATTGTACAAACAATGGAGAAGTATACAGTGCTCATGAGTATATAGACAGTAAGCATAAAGAACAGGAACGTGTATATTTATTTACTGCAATTTTGTATTTATATAAAAATGATAGTAGCATTGATTTTTCCTTCCTTTATTTAGCTGCATCAATGATTCAAGCAGAATCTGTTGCTACTGATCAACAAGAAGGTTTTGCAATAAAGCCAGTGGAAGAAATAAAGAAAAAGGATCCTCCATCTCCAGCAGTTGATAGTAATAAATTAGCTCAGCAGAGATTATCATACGAAAAGCAACTAAAAGAATTTAAAAAGAGCAGTGAAGAGCAATCAAGCATAACATTCCCTAATACATTGTCTTCCTCACAGCGTAAAATAATTCATGAAGTGAGTCTATTAAGTAACGATAAAATCATTTTTGAGTCTTATTATTTTTATGTGGTAGCTATCAGAGGAGCTAGGCCTATCACATGTAAGCCATGGCGAAGGTAATGATAGATATATCGTAGTCAGCAGATCCAGGAAAACTAATGGAGCTGAATGCAGTGATTCTACAACTGAAGATGATAAAATACAACAGCCTCTGATGATTAAAGCACCACAAATTGAAGACACAGTCTGCTGCATTGATGAAGAAACTATTAGTATTGATGTGACAGAGAAAAAGAATTTGTCTAAAGTTGCTTCTCTTCCACCTCCAAGTGAAGCAAAAACTAAGATTGATGTTAAAAGTAAAGCAAAAGATGAAGTGATTGTAGGAGCTACAGTTGGTGTGTGGCAGTGCCAGATCTGTGGCATACATTTACCCAAAGAAAACAGTGAACTACACCAGCTTCGATGTGAGAGAGAAAAGAGGAGAGTGGAGGACATTGTGAAAAAGAAGAAGCAAGAGTCTGAACTGAAAAGCAAAGGCTCTCAAAAGAAAACTAAATCAGAAAAAGCAAAGCCAGTTGAGCAACTTGATGATCTGGATCTTTTACTTGAAGAAATGAAGAAAGCAGATAAAACTTGTAATTTCTCCGGCTGCAAGAAAAGTGTCAATCACCTTGGAATCATTTGCCCTTTCTGCAAGAAGAAATACTGCATGACACACAACATTGCAGAGACACATGGATGTGAGGAAAGAGCAAGAAGAATGGCAAGAAAGGACCTAGAGAAGGAACTGAGAGGAGATGGAAAGGGAACTACTGCAGGAAGGAAGAGTGACTCTTCAAAACGTGCTCACTTGCAAAGAAAATTAGACAAAAAGATCAACGACTTGTCTGCTGATAGACAAAGAAAGAAACCATCATCATGACTTAAATGTAAATCATTAAATGTAATTTTTAATTGTAAAACAATAACACAAGTAAATCTATTGCATACCACTCTGTATTCAAAGTCCAAGGTGTTCATTAATAGCATCAATCAGATCTTGTTTCCTCCCAGCAGCCTTCTTGCCTACTGACTTAAGGTACTCCTTTAGAACTGGATTTGTCAATTTTCCCAACTGAAAATGACAGTAACTATCATAAGGCATACATGTGCATTAGGTATAACATACAGTTCCATTTTTAGCAATGCTCTCAACATCAACTGGTTCATCTGTTTTTGCCTTTTTAGCAGCACCAGCAGCAGCTGTACTGGTTGATGCCTGGAAATGAACACAACAGATGTGCTTTTAAATGGTTGAACTTTCTTACTTTTCTCTTAGTGATTTTTGCCTCTGGATCAAAACCATCAGGAAACACAGCTTTCATAAATTCATCAATCGCCTTCCCTGCTCTCTTGTTAATCTGAGCAGCATCTGGTACAGTGAGGTCTGTTATTTCTTCTTCTTCTTCATGCTCAAGGGCTAGCGCCTCCAAAACACGATAATGTTTTTGAATAACTGTAAGAAAGAGAAATAAATAATGGTGAAAATAATGAGATGAGGAAGAGAATGACAATTAAAGTGTTAGGAGTTAGGACCTGGATTTTCAAAAGATTCACTTTGAAAATTAAAAGAAAGCTTCTTGATAATCTCCTTTGCTTTATCAATCTGCTCATGAGAAGCTTTAAGAGACAGAGAAAGAAAAGAGAAGTAATTGAATATGTTCCTACTACACATACAGTACCTTTTGGCATTTCATCAGGTAGGTCTAAGCTACGTATGTCCTCTGAAAATGGTAAGAAAATGACATGAAATCCAGGAGGAGAGATCTGGATGTTGCTGTCATCAAGTTCTTCCTCCTTTACAATCAAAAGGAATGTGTTAATAATAATTAGACTTCTTACATACTTGAGGTACTAGTGCTACGAAAATTGGAGGAGAGTTGTTACGAGGAATATACTTGCAAACGGCAACAACTTCTCTTGAAATGCATCTTCTGAGTAGCACAGAGAAAAGTTTAGTGCTACCACTAACCGTCTATAAAACATTACACATGATGCATTTATAAAGTATAGCTCTTTTCTCACTGTTTCATCTGGATAAATAAAATTTGCTGGCTTGATGTAATGATGCATTTTCATCTTTGATTTTGGTCTGAATCCCATTAGTGTGAAACCTATGTGTATAATATCAATCAAGCAATAATACTGTAACAGCAGGCACACATACACTACTACACTAGTACATGCATGAATATAATTATACATGTATGCATGGAAGCAATGATTTACTCATCTCATGAATACATTAAATCATAATTGCATCAGCTTATCAAGTTCACCTTTAAAATGCTAGTGACTCAAAAATTATTTGTCAGAATCAGCTCAAACTTTCTACATAGCATAAAGACATCAATGTGTATCAGAAAATGTAATAAAAATGGGGGGTGATTTCGGAGCTAATTTTTGAAAAAAACCATGGGATAGCCTTTGCTCTTTTTCAAAAATTGGCTCATTATTTGTCAGAATCAACTCAAACTTTTTACATAGCATAAGAACAATAAACATCAAAAAATGAAATAAAAATTGGGGGTAAATTCGAAGCCATTTTTTGGAAAAAAAAATGACTTCGAATTGGATATTTTTTGGAATTTTGACATTTTCTTAAAATGGCCGTAACTTGAAAAATTGAAGTCGGAATCAGCTCAAACTTTCTACACAGCATAAGTACATCGATATGTATCAAAAAATGCTATAAAAATTGGAGGTGATTTCGGAGCCATTTTTTGGAAAAAATCATGGGCTATAGCTTTGGGTATGTTTTAGAATTTTGACATTTTCTTAAAATGGCCGTAACTTGAAAAATTGAAGTCGGAATCAGCTCAAACTTTCTACACAGCGTAAATACATTGATATGTATCAAAAAATGTAATAAAAATTGGAGGTGATTTCAGAGCCATTTTTTGGAAAAAACCATGGGCTATAGCCTTTGGTATTTTTCAAAATTTTGACATTTTCTTAAAATAGCCGTAACTTGAAAAATTGAAGTCAGAATCAGCTCAAACTTTCTACACAGCATAAGTACATCGATATGTATCAAAAAATGCTATAAAAATTGGGGGCAATTTCGGAGCCATTTTTTGAAAAAAACCATGGGCTATAGCCTTTGCTTTTTTCAAAAATTTGCTCATTTTTAATGCTAATAAAGGCTGGTTCACAATATTACGCTAGTCCTGATGTTATGTTGATGCTAAAATAGAATCTGGTTCTATTCCAGTGGAAAGCACATGTCAAAAGGTCAAATTGCCCACACTTTTGATTAAAAATTGACTGTACGTTGGCTTAACGTCATATTGTGAACCAGCCTTAACTCAAAACTCTTTGCTGGAATCAGCTCAATGTTTCTACAAGGCATATAAGAACACTTGTATTCTTAGGTGTCTAAACCTATGCAAAAGTAAATCCAAAATGAGGACATCTCTGTGCAAGGAGGCCCCAATGGTGTCCAACAAGGAGATTACAAGTACACATTATGATACGTGTAAATAATATAATACCAGGTTTTCCAAAGTTCTTTAGTTCTTTAATTTCCTCTTCCTCAAATATGACCTTTTCTCCTCCAGCCCCAAGCACCTGATAGTATTTTATGTCAGTAGGAAGAAGGATGCTTCCAGTATCCTACATGCGATTGTAAGGAAGTAAAACAAGGTCCCAATACTTGATGCACAGTAATGATATGCCTTTTACTGTGTTATTTAATGGTATCATACCTCGCAGAGTTTCTTGGTTTGTGTCTTGAGTTCTTCATTAGTCCTCTTATCCAGTCGTATGAATGAAGGTTTCTTTGTCTCACGGACCATACAATATCTAAGAGTTTGTTATGTGAATAAATCTACTTGTTCTTTTAACACGATACATTATTTGCAAAAATTTTACTAAGTCAGTAACTTACACTCCTACTCCAAGCTCAAGGTCAGGACCCAGGGAGAATGTAATCCTTTGCAATGCTCTCTTCTTTAGCTCCTTTGATCTAACACTATAAATAAAGGAAGATAGACAGATATAGTACAAGTATATCATGCAACTAACCGAGTAAGAAGTTCTTCAAACTTCTCAGAAGGATCTGGAAAAGATGTCCCATCTCCATCATCAGAGAAGACAATCTCCTGTACACAAAAAAACAATAGAGTGGGATGATACAATTGGATTATGTTCAGGGGAATTTGCAGGGGATGCTTTTCTACTGCTGACTGCTTATTCAGCATTTATGGCTTCAATATGCTAGCTATGCATTATAATTTATGCATGAATAGTCTATTAATATTGCTACGCCCATTTCCCCTATCACCGCGCCGCTCTTGTACACAAGATCTTCTCCTGTTGTTTTCTTCCTTCATCACTTTCTGCAAGACCAGGGGAAGGAGCGAAAAAGAACTCTAAAATCCTCCTTTCTCGTTGTTTATAACTTTTTAGCAGCCTTTAGTGAAAAGGAGAAGAAGAAAGTCAGAGAAAGCGAGAGCTAGAGCCACTCAAACTTCTCAAGATGGCGTCAGACTCCCTCTTTGGCGGGTATGATGTCCAGTTTGTCGAGAGGCACAGAGAACTCGCTGAGAAGTACATGTGCGTCATTTGCCGAATGGTACCCAGAGATGTACACCAGCTCACATGCTGTGGAAAACTCATCTGCCATCACTGCGTAGAGGACTACAAAAGAAAGTCATCCCACAACTGTCCGGTCTGTCGTAAGCATGGACTCAATTATTTCAACGACACTAGCCGTAATCAAGAAATCCTGAGTCTAAAGGTTTTTTGCTACTACAAAGAGCATAGGTGTCAATGGGTTGGAGAGCTGAGGGATCTGATAAGAGAACATGCACACATATGTGTGTATAAGCTAGTGCAGTGTGAGCAGTGTGGTGCTAGGGTACCTGAAACTGGTCTTGGGGATCATCTTGCCAGTTCCTGTGTTAAACGCATGTTTTCGTGCCAATATTGCAAAGAGGCCGGCTCCTTTGAATTCATACAAGAAACTCATCTCAACGAATGTCCAGAGCGCCCGATCGAGTGTCCCAATGGGGGCTGCCGAATTACAGTAAAAAGGAAGGACATCGAAGCTCATCGCAACGTCTGTATGCAACAACTTGTTCATTGTTGCTACCACCTGATTGGTTGTAACATAATGATGAAGCGCATGTTAAAACCAGCACACGAAGCAAACTGCTCAAAGAGAGGAATCAAGTCCCTTGCACACAGGAAAGATACCCTCCCCCTGAACATATGCATCGACAATTTTGAGTCACGCAAGGAAAACAAAGAGGTATGGGAACAAGACTTCTTCACAAAAGATGGAGGATACTTCATGACGCTTAAGGTTCACCTCGTCGGGTGTAAGTCTGATTCCATTGGCTGCTACTTTCACATGAGAGCTGGTCCCCATGATAGCAGTCTCTCTTGGCCTTTTCGTGGAATATTCGTTCTAACGCTACTCAACCAGAAGATGGACGACAACCATTACTCCAGGGAGATAAAATTCCTTACTACTAAATGTGACTCGTATAATAGTCGTCTGACTGGTTGTGATAAAGCCACCATTGGAATAGGGGAACCGGAATACGTAACTCACTCATTTCTCTCTCAGTGTACCCAGTATCGTAAGTATTTGCAAGACAACAAGATGATTCTACACGTTAGCATTATGGGTACTGATAATTGCAAAAGTGCAATTGGTTTTTATCATGGATGCCGCTGAAATAAAACTGCTTCACTTTGTCTCAGACAAACGCCCACATACATACACACGTGTTACATTATGTATTAAGCATCGTGTTTTCAATGATGGAAGAACATAACAGTAGTGTAACTTTGAGCAATAATTTCTCTCTTTTCACTCTCTCTCTCTTATCTTGACTCTTTGTCTTTAAAATGTTTCTCTTAAACTCGTTTTGTGATGTACATGTACACGTACATGTAGAAATTACTCTTCTTGTGAAAAGATTTTGAATAAAAATTTTGATAATGGTGGGCATAACACACATACATGTACACACACACTAAACCTAGCTGTGTACATACCAGCCTAGGCCAACACTGTGAGCTGCAGTGCTGCACCAATTAAAAGTATATACATGTATACAATACATGACTTGTAGTAGGTACTACAGTCACCATACTACAGTTCACAAACCTGATAAAAGGAAGTGACATTGAATCCACTTCCAATGTGCATTAGCTCAACTTCAATACCATTCTCTGCTAAATCCTAAGATAACAACAACAACAATAATAATAACAGAAACCACAATTATTATGATATCTCCTGTACTTTAGCTTTAGTCTTTGCTTGACGCTACATGTACACGTACATGTACACGGGAGGAGAGAGAGAGAGAGTGGGAGAATGAGTGACAGTTATCATGAAGCCATAAAAGTGTTGTTATTCTTACTTGTAGTGCAGGGTTGCTTTGATGTGGATGGTCATTATTAGTGAATAGTAGGATCCTCCTATGACTGGATTTTGCACCACTAAAAGAAAAAAACAAAAAATCATGAGATCATTCTCTATTATCTTGTATTCTATCATCATTCTCTTCTCTTGTCCCTATCTACATGTACTTATATCTATTTTCTTTTCTCTCATCATTTCTAATTTCTATTACCATCGTTTTCATTACCTAGTAGATAGCATTGTAGAGCAAGTCCAGAATACATCACTTAATGAAAAGTCATTCGAGTGTCCATAATCTTTTTCAAAAGTCTGAAATCCTTCATCTATGCATGTATGTGTAATAAAAGAAAAGAACTAAATAATTATTTATTTATTATTAAGAGGGAGGGGCTCAAACTGAGGACACACACCTTCCAACATGGTTTCCAGTTCCTTAATACGAGGAGCATCAGGCATGTCAAGATCCTAATGTAGTAAAGTAACTAATGTTAAATACAAACTAAAATTAAATGTATGTATTTGTAAATACAAATACACGTAACTTTAAGGTATGTAGACTATGTAGTATACCATATGTACATTACACAAGTAAAAATACAAAAATGTAAATGTACAATGCATACGCACATGTATTTTAAACATTTACACTATAGAAAAATACCATAGGCATATTTGTTAACCGGAACTTAACCCAATGAATGATATACCTGAAGGATATAGACATGTTTAAAGTCACTGGGATTATTCTCTTTATTCTGCAACAAAAATTCATGAATAGATACAATGTACACGCCCACTTACAGTTCCGAAGAAAACCACACCCACTAAATCCTTCTCACTGCTGATGACTTTATTGAGTAAAACACTACGAGCACACTAGTATATGAAAAAATGGCATCTTTCTAAATTAAAGTTATTCCCTGCTGGCTTACTTTTATGCATAATTCAAATGGGATGCCCTTAGTCTCTTCGTCTTTTACAAACATTCCAAGACTCACATCAATCAACAAAATGAGACAATCTTTGGTTGCACTGTAACCCTAATATGACGATTATTCTAATTAATGCCCATTACTTCATCAAAAATAATTTTTAACAAAATATTATTATAATTCATACTGGCCCAGCCTGCTGCTCATCTTCGTCTTCTTCCTCGTCTCTCCAGTCTCCCCCACCCCAGGCACCGCTCCAGTCTGACATTCTCTAATTATCTCGTCCCCTCTACAAAATTTAAGTTACCCGCCAATTGGCGCCAAACTAAAAGCGACTATCTTATTGAGCATGCGCATATAAAACGCCCGCGCCTTAAACCCACGCCTATTTTTCCGCCCAAATTGCAAAATGGGCTCAGCTCTAAGCTGCTTAACTTGCACTGATGATGAAACAGGAGAAGAGAGGCCTATCTTGGAGCGCAGACCAAAGTTTGAAAACGTCAGGCACGTAGAAGGAGCCCCAGTTGACAAGAAATGGTATCACGGCAACATATCAAACGAGGAAGCAGAGAGGAGACTGCGCGTTGGCTCTGCAGGAAATGATGACTCTTACTTGGTCTATGACAATCCTCGCAAGGCAGGGGAGTACATCCTCATCGTTATACACAAGGGAAAGTTTTATAGATGGAGGATAATGAGACGCCCCAGTGATGGTAAGTACATTCTAGGTGATGATTTACCTGGTGCTGAAGGATTTGGCAGTGTCAGGGAGCTGGTGAAGCATCATAGAGGTGTCACTGGGAAACCCATCAAAACTGACTCTGGATTAACACTGACTCTTAGTAAATCCTACGTCTATTATCAGGACTGAGATACATGGCTTGTTGCATGCATTACTGTGCCAAATAATTGATTTACATAATATAATGCTAAATGACTCAAAGTTTACATATAGCTTCAACTGTTTTTTGTAATTTATTTCTAAGTGGAGTGTTGTTGCCAGAGATGATGTCAATCAGTACAGTAGTATGGTCAATAAACTGCAAAACGAAATAAGTCAACAGTTACAACTAAAAGTATAGATAAGCTATAGTACTCATTATGCTATCAATATAATAGTATACTATAGCTCTAAAATAAACAAATGATAATTGATAATTATGTGCCCACCTCACTGCCATGTTTGCTAAGCAAGGTCACTAACAGTTTAGCAAATTTCAGTGAGCTTGTGAGGTAGCCAGCATTGGCTTGCAATGATTCTACACAGTTAGGGGCACCAATATCACTCACTCCCTAAATAATAATAATAATTACTATGAAAGCAAAAAAACAAGAATGCAATGCATTACTTTCTCAATTAGAAGTTGCAATACTTGTATGTGTTGTTCATTCCAAAGGAAAGGCTCTATACTAACAATAACACAAAATGCACAAAATTATTTACCTCCTTTGGAATTCTCTTTTGCGTCATTCAACTTGCTAATAAAAATAGACAAATTTGCTGAGTATCATTAATGGCTATACCTCCAAAGATCATCTCTTTGTTCATTATTGATTGCATCCTTGAGTAGCTGACACAAAAGCTCACATTGACATGTATCTGGTAAAAGGAATACTAATACTGACTATGCATTTAGGTACTTACTAAATGCAGGCGAGAGCATTAAAGGATACAGAATGCCTTCCAGTGATGCTAAAGGAAACTTTTCAATGATATTAGTAATACCAAGAAGCAACCCTCTTGATGAATTTTTTTGCAATGACAGCAACTATATAAATAATTGATTAGTTGAATTGACATGCATACATACAAAAGGAACAATGAGATTCTCTAAGCAACAGATTAGGGACTGATGGCTTACATCAGTCATGCTCTCATCAGTTATCTAAAGGTTAAATGAGAGTGAGTTTGAGTACATAATTATTGAACATTACATTGGTGATTGCAGCTTTTATACTTGACTCTGACAAATCTTGGAAGCAGCTATTAAACTTAAAATACGACTCAATGCTTCAACATTGTTCAAGTTATAGCTAGCTTACTTGTTGAGGTGACAAACTGATCACCTTTTGAAACAAATCACTTGATACTTTCTATTTAATATAATTATTCTTTACTGATAACTAAGTATAGTATAACTGAAAACCTACTTGTCCCTTGCTCCATTTGTTCTTGATAGTTTCAATAGTAACCTACAATAATGTAAAAAAATCAGCAAAAATAAAATACCAGTATTGTATACCTTGATATCATTAGGTATCATAACTTCAGTTAATAAATCTGGCATTGCAGAAGTTTCAAGTTCCATATCCTCAGGCACTACAACCTCAGGTATTACAGGTTGACCTATCTCAGTATTATCATGTAATAATAAGTCTTGCTGTGATACTGAATCTGCTAGTTTAGCACGTTTTTCTGTTAAAAATAAAATAATTATGTTCATACATAGCATGTTACTTACTCTTGGCTTTTCCAATATCAGTTTCACTTTCATCATCACTATCTGCTATTCGTTCCCTTTTTCTCTTTACAGAGACTGCACTGGTGGTTGCCAATTCTACATTATCTCCATTTGCAGTAGAAAAAATGTTTTTAATTTTATCAACAGTGGTCACTGGTAATGATGACACTGCAGCATTGCTAGTCACTAATTTTGCCAGCTTTTTCAAAAGATACTTTATCCAGTCACTTTCAATTGTTTCGCTGTTTATTTGTTCTATGAATTTTGTTAAAACTTCAGCTGGTATGGAGTCATGAAGAGAAACAAGAAGATTTAAAAATTGAATCTGGACATGTTCGGAAAGATTGGAAGTGAAACGTGAGCTCCTACAAAATATACTTTATCATACGTAATCAGTCAAGGTATTTAACTTACAAAATTATTTCATTCTCATGTAATGCAGCTGTCTTAGCTATGAGGTACTCTAGCACACAATTCCAATCAAAGCCTTGACAAACAGTTCTCTGTGTATCTTCCTTTCTTCTACTCAGCACTGAACAAGTACAGGACACAGCCCTATGCTCATAAGGAATGCAGTTATTGTTCCAATTCCTTAGCATTCTTAGGGCGATATCTAAACTATTTGGCTTTCCAAGGACAATTATTAACCTACTAAGGAAAGGTGGCATATCATCCTCCATTTTGAATATTAAACTGCGTGGGTAGAAACTTGAGCCTCCCACGCATTTTTTACATTGAGCCTCCCACGCATTTGAAACAGCTGCTATTTTTACAAGCTGCCAGCTGGAGCGAAATGATGAAGCGAGCGCCATTTCTTGTATGTTGTTTGTCTGAAGGCGGTTGTTGCCATGGTATTGTTCTTTGTGAACAGGAGATTTGGTCTACTGAACTGTACTAAGTCTAGTCTAGAGGGCTCTATCAAAAGTTCTGCTTATTTCAGTGACCCATTCCCATACTTGCCATGCTCAAGATGGCTGCATCGGGCCTTCGTTCAACTTTCGCTTCCTGGTTTAGTTGTCCTACTACCAACACCAATAGGAAAAGGCCAGCAAAAGAAATGGAGACCCCTGACTGCAACAATGAAGAGAATTTAGACCCAAACACCCTCCAGGCTCCTAGATGCAAGAAACAGCGCAGGACATACTCAGTTCCCCGGGAAATACGGGACAGAGTCAAGAGAAAGCTATTCACAGACCCACCAGCAGAAGAGGAGCTCACAATTCATAATGACGTACCAAGAGGGAGCCGCAACAGAACGAATAGTTTATTTGTCCTACCTATCGAGATACTCCATCTTATCTTTGGCCTCCTAGACAGGGAGACACTGACGATGCTGGCATCTTTATCAAAGGATCTAAACGAGAGTGTCATTACATACGCATTAAGTGGAGCTGGTCTGAAGCACGTCATAGCTTACCAGAATGGAAAGTATGAGCCTGCACATTACAGCGAAGCAGGTAAAATTTAAAGAAAAGAGTCTTATTATTTCTTTTAAAATATTTTAGGTAACATGTTTAGAAGGTTAACAGCCACAAAAAACTTGAGGCAAAGATTAAAAATAGCAAGCCAAATTTCAGAAATGGTAAAGTTATTAATCAACTATAATGAAAATTAATGTACACATGTGAACATATAGAAGAAGCCATTGTGTGACGCTGTGATAAGGACTGCTGGAAATGCTGTGGCTTACAAGTGCTTTGGGAGCCTGTTTTTTCGATATATCATAACATGGTCAGAGTACGACAAACTGAGAGCATATTGTTTCTTTGAAAAGAAAACCAAATTGTGCCAGAAGGTAAATGCATTAGGTCAGGGTTTCCCCTAAAATGTGCTAAGTGAGCTAAATAGCACACTTCATGAGCTGACAAGAAGCTGAGCACTATACCAAAATCTTGTGGGAAACCCTGCATTAGGTAGTAACAGCATTATTTTTGGTTTATAGATATCACACATTCTACGATTGTCACCTGGTGTTCTGCCTTTACATGAGTCTGATGTAAGACAGCTAGTCTGCAGTACTTTACTGGGCCCTTCTCATAACGATGAGGAGTACAGCTTCTGGTTGAGTCAACTGTTAAAAGGACATCCAATAACACATCAAGCAAGACTACTCTATATGCTCGCTGGACCAACTGACTGTGCAGGTATTATGATAGCTACTATACACACACACTCTGTCATCTAATCATAGTATGATGTAAAACAATACAAGCTGCAATTCATGTATATTATACCTTACCCCAGAGAATTGTCAGTAGATTTTTTTAATGAATTTTTAAGCCCCTGTACTTAAAAATTTTAAACTGTTGCTTCAAAACCCTCAGCACCATTAACCTCTTTTTGGAATAGGTTTTATACTCTGGTCAAATGCTTGTGATTGTACTAGTCCTTTACAGTTGAACAAGGGCTCCACGGTCATGAAGAAGGACAGAGACTTGAGTCCTCTTGCCAGAGGATTTCGTGTTCTACTTACGCTAAGGAAAGAATGGTCCATGGATTCCATTATATCAGTATTTGATGAAATGACAAGTAAAACCATTCACTCATGGATACACTGTATTTATATTTGTATATAATTATTTGTCTTTTATATAGCTACTCCTTCTGGCTGGTGTTTGGGACAAGTGGCAATGCTTCTAATGCTGGCAGGTACAGACGTCACACAGGCTATTCTAGGTAACAGAGCTGTAAATGGACACGTATCTGATCTGACAGTAATGATGTACTACCTTGCACACTCTTGTGTCAAGGAAGACAATGAGAATGGGAACTCACAAAAGCTTAGGTAAGACAAGATTTAAAAATTAGCCTTGAGATTGCATGTATATGCTGTAGCTGGTACCTAGAGATGGTTCGCTATGTCACTGGGATGCTTCCTGGAAGCAAAGAAAGGCAATGGTTTGCATACAATCTCATTGACCACTGGCAGTCATACCTCATGTCCTTATTTGAAGAAGATGATATCAGTGAAGAATTAGCCAGTAAGTCTTTCCTTGATGTCATGATCCTTATAAGTATGCATGTATTTTTAGATTTTGATGACATTAGGCAAGAGTTTGTGACATCACTTAACTGTCTGTCTAAGCTCTCAGTAATCCTCCTCACCAACTTATCAATATAGATCAGGCTCCCTTTCCTTTATTTCTGTGCATGCACACAAACAAAGAACTGTATTTAACTGACGATCACACTATTTTAACATAAATACCTCATACAACAAAATCAATAATAAATTATGAATAATATAACGGAAATATAATGATTATCAGTACTTTAACAATAACAAAAACTAGGGTTAGATCTATTTGTTTCCTCTGAGGATAATTTGATTCCTCTATCAGGATCAACATTTACTTTACTGTTCAATCTCATTTCGTGTGTTACCTCTATCACCTTCTCAAACATTTCCTCGACTCCATCCCCTGTCTTAGCAGAGACCACAAAGGAATGCTCGATTTCCATCTCTGAGACAAAATCTTCAACCATCTCAGGCGTGATGTCCGATTCTAAGTCTGACTTGTTTCCGACTAGCACCCATAGAATGTTATGATGTCCGACGGCATTCATGTAATACCTGCATTCTTCCATCCAACAGCGAAGGCTAGAAAATGATGCAAAATCCTCTACACTATAGACCAGTAGTACAGCATTGCTGCTCCTGTATAAGCTTGAGATTTGATGGGTCTCGAAACGGGTCTTCCCAGGGCTGTCGTTAAGTTCTACCTATTATAAAATAACTAGTATAGTACTTTTGGCTTGTATCTATTCGTTGTGCATTATGGACTATAAAGCTGTATTGTGTTACAAACATTTAAGGAAGCTCCTCAATTATGAACAAATTATAAGAAGCAAGAATTTTGATAATGAGGTTTTAAAACTGCCTACAGATAAGATCAAGATTAGAGTACTAGATAAGAGCCACTACACAATCTATAACTGTAAATAGGCATCGATTAACAGGTCAGCATCCTCACAAACACTCACCTCTACAAGGTCTCCTAGTGCGCTGAAAGACTTCTCAAAGCAATCAAAGCCAAGAGTAGATCTGTTTTCTTCGTCCGTGTCTTTAAAATATCCAAACAAGACTCTGTGAAAGAGAGAAGTCTTCCCTACGTCTTTGTCTCCAACTAAAACGACTTTGTATCTGGCAGCCATTGAGCATGCTATAGGCGGAGTAAACCACACTATTGCTGTGCAAAGGTGTAAACAAGACTGGGTAAAAATAACAAACAGCTGTGGTGGGCGGGGTTTGTGTAAAACCACCCACTCAATCGACTCAGCAAACACTTTAGCTGAGTCATTTCTACCGTATACACTCCTAATAAACAGATAGAGTGCTGATAATATTTAAAAGAAAATCCTTTCTCTCTCTCTCTCTCCTCTCTTTCTTTTTTAAAGACACTCTCCCTATCTCCTGTATTATAGATAATGATTAAACTGTTCTCACTGAAGCAGCAGGCAAAAGATGGCACCACTCCTCACCAGTCATCACTCAAAACTTCAGCTGCTTTTCTAAGAGTACAAAAAGGTTCAAACTTTGTTCTTTTGGCAAGTCCTATTTATACATTTTTTCTGGTTTAGATTTAGCTGAATTAAATCTTCCAAAGACTTGTCAGATGGACTTCCCTGATCCAAACGATCTCCTTAACTTCAAATTAGTTATCAGCCCAGACGAGGTAATTTTGACATGGGTGTGGTCTCATTATATCTCTCCTATTTTTATACAGGGTTTTTACAGGAACGGTCGCTTTGTATTTAGCTTTAAGGTATTATTTTTTACATTATCAATAGTAAACTATTTCTAATCCTCCATCTCTTTGACATGAAATTGTTTGATAACTCCCTTGGTAGCATTTCAAATTATGATATCACTTCCTCTTGTCTGCCCTCTGTTTCCTCTCTCTTTCTCTCACAGATTTTACAAGCATACCCACACGAACCACCAAAAGTGAAATGTGAGACACAGGTTAGCACTTTCTAACATCGTCACTATACATAGTGTACATAGTGCAAATTACTTCTATTTCGCTTTATTATTGATGATAACAAAATAGCCTATTACATGGCAATCCATTGTCATAGCACATTTCATTAAAGAAGAGCATGTGACATAATGTCTTCTAGATGTTCATGTACATACCCATAATCATCGTTCTCCTATTCATTATGTCTTAGGTATATCATCCTAATATTGACCTGGAGGGAAACGTGTGTCTTAATATTTTAAGGTATTCCCAATGCTAGTAACTTATAGTAATGATAGATATGTCCTTTGTATGTAGAGAAGACTGGAAACCAGTTTTAACAGTTAATTCAATCATATATGGACTACAGTTCCTTTTCCTGGTAAATGAAATTACATTTTAAAAATTAAATAAATGCAATGCAACACGATTCTGCATAATAAAATAAATAAATCCAATCCTTTATTTACTTAGGAACCTAATCCAGATGATCCTCTCAATAAAGGTAAAGAGAGAATAGTAGTGCCTTTAGCTGAATTACTTGCTCTGCTTTGTTCTTTAGATGCAGCTGAAGTTCTGAGACAAAATCGTAGACTATTTGAACAGAATGTATCAAAATCGATGAGAGGAGGCTACGTAGGATCTGTGTATTTTGAGCGCTGTTTAAAATGAGGCTCTTCAGTTCTTTCTAATCTTATATCGCTCTCTCAGTCTCTCACCGAGTCTTCTCACACACAATAATAATAATACTTTGTTTTTTTAATAAATGAAAATAATGATCATGATACTAATATCACTAGTTTGCTTGAGTTAACAAAAATTATATTTTAATTTCAAGACTGCAGAGCACACATAACAATTTCACAATTAACTAATGTGTTACGTATCAATATTAAGAAGCTGATATGCCAGATTTTGATGATACTTGCTAAATTATGCTTTCTTGATGGCACAATGTACTATTGCCACGACAAAAATAACCAGGAATGCAATGACCAAGAGTGCACCAAACCAAACAAGCAAGTCATTGCGACGATCAGATATGACGCTAACGTATTGTGGATCACGAGTATTGTCACATTGCTTGACGTGCATGAAGAGACAAGTCTCTGGGTCTTTAATATTCTGCGGTTGGAATTCTTTTTGAGTTTTGACAGTAATTGGAGTGGTATGGTTGATAGGGCCAAGAATATAAGGAGTATAATCGCTCTCTATGAAAGGATAGTAATATCGACGAACAAAGAATCTAACTGAAGTCAAGTTATAAAAGACATAGTAATACTGACCCACATTAGCTGGCAGTATAGCAGGTATTGATACATTTCCATGATCAAGCTGTCTGCATTTTGAATCTGGTGGAGGATTATTGCAGTCAATACTAACGTCAAAGTTATGCTCTCTACGTAACTTGGCATACTTGTCTGTGAAAACCCAGACTTGCTCTGTTTTTCCATTAAACTCTGGTTCTATACTGAATACAAATTCAGACCCATTTAAGCAGTATATGTGATTGGTATGGTCATAGTGATGCTCGGATGTCGGTACATAATGATCCTGATATGTAACGTTGACTTGGTCACATGGTGGGGAATATAAAGTCCCGTAGCAAGTTCCATTAGTTTTTAGGTGCAGTTCATCAATAAGAGGTGCATTAGATGGCAATTTTATGTACACAACATCAGGTTCATAGATAAGCGTTGAAGAGGTCCCAGCTTTTGGAATAAAGATAAAAACTATCATTCCTATCAAAACTATCAGAGTGACCACGAAAAGAGCAACATAGCATGAAACCCATCCTTGAGGACATTTTTTTGGCTTTGTAACTATCAAAATACATAATCAAAAAGAAATAATATTCAATATGACAAATAATGATGCATAATTTTTTGATTATGCAGTCTTAGATACAGTTGGAAAAATGTTTCAAATCAAAATGGCTAGATATGTTATGTATGGTCAAATGCATGGGCCTTAATTCAAAAATTATTTTAGTCATGATTAAACTGTATACTACCTGAATGGATTAATTTGTCACCTTCTTCTGACCTATCTTCATCAAAATTTTCAATAGGGCCATCTGTACCAAAAAAGGAAAGACATAAAAATTTTGCATGCCTCACCCAATGTATTACCCACTACTCAACTTTTAAACAATTACTTTGCCTATGCTTTGATGTGCTGTGAACTTAATTTCTTGCCTTCAAAAGTTTAGTGTGTATTATCATTTTTGCAATTCAAAATCATGTGACATCATAGAATTAATACCTCAGTAAAGAATCTACTACTGTATAAATGCTAATCTATGCATAAAAGTATGCAGCAGGAGTAGAGTAGACCAGATAAGGAAGGGAACAAAAGAGTATCAAGGGATTCAAGGCGTTGTTCAAACTGAAAATGCTTACTGTCACAACTGAACAGGTGTATAAACTAACTGGTCTCAAGGTTATGTTTGAAAATAACAATGTCAAGAAAGAGGGATGGGTCTGGCTACATGAGGTTAGGGAACGGTCTGGCTAGCGAGACTACCCCTTAGTCACAGGTAGGGTGAGACTAAGTGATACTAACATAATGGTTTGATATAATAGATTATAAAGTAGAGTTATTGATGATAAGCATAAAAATTATTATCATTATAATAAAATAAAATGAATAATTTTTGTGACCACACTCAGTACAAACAAACATCATCCAAGGATAAGTTTTACTTGTTGTTTTTAGGAACTACACAAATTTAAGCCTACAGTAAGTCAGTAACTATAAGGTCCATACAAATGATGACTTTTGATGAGTGATGACAGCCAAGAGTTAAACTGTATATATAGAGGATATGCATGCTAAGTATATTCATAGCTTTTAAGTACCGTATATCCAACCCACACAGTAAATTGGCCGCCATGTTGGACGTCAAGTTTATTAAGAATTCAATGGGGGGAAAACACATTTTTTTGCCTTGCTACCTTCTTGAGGCCTTTTTCGGAAGCTTATAAAGCATCCTGAGGATCTAATGGGGTCTAGTAGTCACCTGAAAGATTGCTATCAAGAAATACAGAGCGGTTTCCTGGTACCAAGCCTTTTTCTATCATTTCTCCATTGCTGCCAATGGAAAGTTGACGTCCAACGATTGCAACGAACCAATTTTTTAACGACCTGGGGGCGAAGCCCCCAGGTCGTTCCTATAATTGAATTCACCATAGATAATAGAGTAAATGAAAGTAATTCATTTACTCTATTATCTATGAATTCACCGTCGCGCTATCTATGTCCACAGGACTCCACACTTACATTTCTTCTATTCATATCTTTCCTGTGAATGACGTTTCCAATTTATAATAATATTCATTTGGATACCGTAAATAGAAAATTTTACAGGCCGCCATTGTGGAGGTATTGCTGCACTGTTTCCAATGGAGCTCGATACACTTTCTGCCGTTTTCTAAGAAGAGCAAGCAGTTATAGTCTCAAAAGTTAAAAAATTGCAACCTTTATCTTCTTTTCAGTAGTCTGCAACTGTTTAGAGCCACTGGAGTGGCGTGGAGAAGTAGAATTGACAGTTTTTAGCTTGTCGGTCCATTGTAACTAATGATAGTATACCTCCACAATGGCGGCCTGAAAAATTTTCCATTTACGGTATCCCAATGAATATCATTATAAATCGGCAAAATCATTCACAGGAAAGATATGAATACACGTATTGGAGATTTGGAGTTGGAGCCACCACCCGCCCACGCTCCTTTACGTGAGTGGGTGTGGTCACGGCAAACAAAATGGCGGCTTACACATGGGACAAAGTTAAGAGCTTTCTAACAGCAAGAGAACATAGAGATACTGTCTAAAGACTTCTCTAGAAGCATTAGAAGGTAGAGAGAACCTCTATAAGTCCTAATAATGACCAAGTTGTATTTGCAAGGTGGTGAAATCAATTATAGGAATTTTTTTACCCTGTTACGCTTCTTTTTCTTGAAAGTTATTACGGTATGCAATGAATACATTTATTTTGCAATGAATATACTTAGCACGCATATCCTCTATTACAATACCGGTATTATTCTTGTCTTAGACTTAGTCCTACAATTATGTTACAGTAATGGTAGCTCCTTACCACTCCCTTCCAGGTTATTGTTTTCTTCATCTTCAGCAATATTGGTAGCAACTGGTATGTTCTCATCATCATCTATGTAGTTGTTGTCACTCATTGTACTCCTTTGGTATTTATAACTACGCTATTATTAATTTTTTATCGAATTTAATTATCTCCGCTCACGTGTATGGCCAAACCTAGCCCTCTGGCAGTCTTTGGCACTCTTTGCAGATTTAAAATAATCGCGGCTAAGTCATGGCTAATATTCCAACCGATCCAAAATTTGTTCCTTCCCTTGTTTTTGATGACAACACCTTTGTTATTAAAATATACAGCCCTTATGGAGGCACTTCACCAGGAAACTACAAACAACTTCAACATGACATCAACAAGGTAAGCCTCCTATGCTCAGTAAGCAAAGGTCTATTTTAATTTAATGCAGGCATTGACCGACCAAGGCCATGCATTTAGTACTATCTTGTATGCTCACACTAGTAGCACATATCTGCAATGTGCTGATAACTCAGAAGGACCAGCTAAAGAGACTAGAGCAATTACATTGATAGAGTATTTCTGTCCTGGAACTGTGGCAGACAACAGTGAAGCATTGGCTGCTATTCACAAAGTTGTTAAGAATGCTTTTGATCCTAACGATGCAGGATTACTGTAAGTGTGTGCTACATGTACTTTGCATCTACGTTTAAAATGCCAGAAAACTGATTTATATAAAACTTATAGCTACTATGATTGCTCATAATGTATTAATTCATAGTACTCACATTATGTATACACTGAAACTGAATTAACTGATAACACAAAGATTATCTTAGTTAGGAACACCTGGCCATCACTCAGACTACATATACTACATTGTCTTACTTCTGGGCCATGCAGCTACTCCTATTATAATAGTAGTATAATAAATTATATAAATATAGTTGTTATAATGTTAATAGAATGCAATACATGATCATGAGCAATGTCAACATGTCAAGACTTGACCCTGACAAGATCAAGAAGCCCGTAACATAGGATTGTATATAGTGTGACTAATGAGTGACAATTTTGCAAGTGATTCATTGCAAAATAACTAATAATGCTATGAATTATAATAGTCCTTTTTTGTTTGAATTTTACTAAGAGATTGTTTTAATGTGTTCTATCTCTCGTCATCCAGGGGTCCAATCCAGTCATGTGAAATTGAAAATGTGTCATTCTGTCTTTGCCAGTATGATTGCTCTTTATCAGTTAGACCACTTAGCCATTTCCTATAAGCTGCTTCTGCTCGTAGCTGCCTCTCTTTCTTTGTCTTTATCTAAAATGAAAATTGTAAAATGAATAGATAAATGTATACCTTGTACCTTTTCATCTTCTTGTTTTGCTTCTAGAGCTTTTTGCCGTGCCTTTTCCTCGTCCTTAACTTTACACCATTGCTTGTATAGTGACAGTGACCTTTCTCTTTGCTTCTCTTTTTTCTGCAAATATCATAAATTGATTAGATTAGCTCAGTAGCTAATACACAAAGCATCTGACAAAAATAACTAAAAAAATAGTCTGTGTATGGTTATTTCCTGATAAACTAATATTGATGCCCTCAATTGATTGCAATGAATATAAATTATACACAGTATGGCCCATTTTATTTCTTTCTCCCTTACTTCAGATGCCTGTAGTCTCTCTTCTTGTTTCTTCGTTTCTTTCTCTTCTCTCTCAATCTTTAATTCTTGTTTCTTTTTCTCGACCCATACCCTGTGACATTGGTCGGCTCTTCTCTTCCTTTCTTTATCTTTCCTCCTTTCTTCACGTGCTCTCATATCAGCTTCAATCTAACATACATCACATGATACTCACTTTAACTCTACTACTCACTCGTGCAGCAATTGCAGCTTTATGGCGCTCTTTGTCCTTCCTTGCTTTATCAATCATCCATTTCTCCCAAGCTGAAAGTACAAGCGCCTGTTCTAAGAAAATATTTTTAGAGTATAACAGTGCACAATTGCACATGTGTATTATTGTACTTGTCTTGTATGTACACCATTCAGTCAATTCATCCAAACACCCACATACCCCAGAGGAAACAAATCAAACAATCAATATTGAAATTGTAATATTGTAAAACTAAGAAAGCTTAGGTACCACAATCCTTACTATCTTTTGTATCCTTTGAGGTGATTGAACTTGAATGATGATCAATGCTTAGCTCCAGAGAATCCTTAGTGAAGTCCATTCTCATGCACGCTATATAAACAAACACACAAATCTTTTAAGCCACGCCTATTCCACGCCCATCCAATTTTGCTTTAAATTGAGATGTTTCTTGCAGACGGGAGCAGTGCTGTCCAAGGTGTTTTCACTTCTTGCTCTAAGACGAGAAGACAAGGAACGATTGTTAAAGAGAAAACAAGTCCTTGTAAGTTTGCTAATGATATCTTTAAGTGTATTTGAGTATATAAATGGCCAGTAAACTAGTTATAAATTTAATTAACTAAAAATAATTTTTACTTGAACGAGGCAGGTGTGTGTATCATGTCAATATTGTCCCATTGCTCCTAAATTGTTGTAATCACCTCCTATTATACACTCAAACGCTAATCTGCAAACAGGAGTTAGCCATGCATCACAGGGCAGGTGCACAGTCTTTCCTTGCATGCAGTGTACACACATCAACACATTCCTCATTGATTGACACTGGTAGTGCTTTCCCACAGCTTACATTAACATCACGTATCAATTATTACCAGATGCAACTATAGACTTACAAAGTGTATGTCACTATTCTATGCAGCTATGCCTCTATATGCCACTCACTCACTCACTGCTCAGACTCAATTTTTCAGTTTTGTTTGTGCTGCAAGGAATCTCATTTCATGCTCATTAGTGTCCAGTATCACAAATTACATGTTGCACTCATAGCTGTGAGATTATGTAGGAGTTTCTCGTGCATGACCATTGGCCTGGATCTCTTTGTAAATTCTTTGAATTTTTGTGTGATAGAGGTGCATGAATCTAGTTTAAATGTTTATACAAAGTCTTGTGGCATGATGCCTGTGTTTGTGTCTTGTGTATGACCGCAAGCCCAACGAGTTAAACTTGTGTGTGATCCAAGTGATGTAGAGTTGTGTGTTCCATGGTGCATACCATGCTTTGTCTTGTCTGGGAGCAGACCTGGTAATTGGATCTCTTTGTCCTTTCATGTGGTCCAAGTACATGTACTATGGTCACATCCACCCACAATTATACTGATAGGCTTACTGAGGTAAAATGTGATACATAGCAATAGCAATTTCAAGAAATGTCTGACTGAAAACATTTCCGACATCATAGTACGATAGAGAATTGGAGCCATAGGGATACATGTTTGCTTGTACTAATAAGATGAAATATTTATCCAGTGATGATTTGTTGGATGTTACTAGTCTCACCTGCCTGTCTGCATATTTCCGTTACTTAGGATTCAGGTCATATCCCACAGTATCAGTTTACTAAGTCATTGTTACATTGAACATCTTATATGGTGTGATTACCCATTCCACTAGACTACCTGCTTAGTGAACCAATTATAATTATGCACTGTATCACACGCACTCCCACCATTCGTCTCACCATCCTCTTCATTCCTTTATTTACTCCTTCACAGGTACAAGAACTGGATATCAAAGCACTGTACGTGATGGCAGAGGCATCAGTAACGATGAACATTGATTCGGAGTCCCTGAGGAACAAGATCACTTGTTCAATATGTAACAAGCAGTACTCCAGCCCAAAGACCCTACCCTGTCTCCACTCTTTTTGTCTTGCTTGTCTCGTTACCATCAACGAAGATGAGTCTGGAATGATTGATTTAACGTGTCCCGAGTGTCACAAAAACATTTCAAGTCTAGAGAAATCGCTCGCTGATCTGCCTGAAGCTTTTCAAATCAATCGCCTTCTGTCTTATCATAAATTCAAGCAGAAAGCACTCGGGAAGGTGACCCCTTTGTGTCAGAATTGCGTTGGTACCAAAACGAGTGCTGTTGCTTTTTGTACCAATTGCAACAAGTTTATCTGTGACCTCTGCAAGAAGATACATGGTAACTGGTCTGAGCTGAAAGACCACAAAACACTAAAACTGGCAGAGCTAAAGGACGTTTATGATAGCTACGTCCCCGTCACTGTTACGAAGCAGCTGTGCGAGGACCACAAAGGAAACGAGTGCACTGCTTTCTGTGAGACTTGTGAGAGCCTTGTCTGTCACGAGTGTATTTTAAAGACTCATCGTGATCATAAGTGCTTCCATTCAGATGAATCAGTAAAATCACACAAGAAAGGCCTCAGTGAAGACCTTGATTCCATCAATGGTCTACCAGGACAACTCCACGGTGCTATCAATGTCATTGATAGGATCATGGAGAATTACTCTGGTGAGGGTCGAGCTGTTGAAGCACAGTTGCTTGTGGTTCTTGAGAAGTTGGAGAAAATGGTAGCACTCAAACGCGATGAGATGAGTGGGAAACTGACCGACAGGCTGACAGAGAAGGTACTGTTGCTGTCAAATCAGAAGCATAATCTTGAAGAAATGATGATGAAGATTAACAGCTGCATTAGCTTTGTCAGCGAAGCAGTCGATGGGAATCACATCACAGAGTTTTTTATGCTCGAGAAGAATATGAAGAGACGCATAACCGAGCTACAGAAAGAGTTTTCAACACTTGATCTCCAACCAGTTGAAGAGCCAGAAATTCACTTCAGTTTTAAGGAGAAGGCCTTGGATGCTCTTGATGGATCCATTAGGATAAGTGATGGGAGCGTCCTACATGCTTCTGGTGATAATTTCAATGTTGGAGAGATTATTTGCTTTTACATATCTCTCTCATCAGCTTTCTACAAGACAAAGGACAATCCAATGGATGAGGTTGTAGCTGAGATAGAGTCCCTGAGAGATGGGTCTGTATGTCCAGCAGCCATTGCTGTTAGTAGTAATGGGTTTGCTAAGCTCCAGTGCTCTTTCTCAGAGAGAGGGAGGTATCTTGTCAGAGTTCTTCTTGGGGGGAAGCACATTAACGGGAGTCCTCATCACTTTTACGTGAAACCCAACGGAACCCACCTTCAAAAGCCAATCAAGTCTTTCAATAAGCTCCAGGGACCCAAAGCTCTCGCTATCACAAAATCTCACCAGCTCATCATATGCGAAGAGAACAGACACTCAGTCTCAATAATTGGACTCAAAAACAAGAAGACAAGTGTCATAGGTGAGTATGGAAGAGATCAAGGTAACTTTAGCCACCCAACTGGAATCGCCATTGACAAAGATGGCTGCATATATGTTGCTGATAGCAAGAACGATCGGATTCAGAAGCTCAGCCCCGAGGGCTCGTTCCTAGCTGAATACAAGGAGACGCAGAATTCCAAGAAGCTCCATCTTCCGAGCAACGTAAAGATTGGTAATGACGGGTTTGTGTATGTGGTTGATCGAGGTAACAATCGTGTCGTCATTCTCACTCGTAGTCTCGAGTACGTTAGCTCTTTTGGATCAGCTGGCTACGGACTGGGATCTTTGCACGATCCTTGGGACCTTGCTTTTGATGATAACGGATTCATTTACATTACTGACCGCCGACAGCATTGCATACAGATATTCACTCGGAATGGATCGTTCCGCGGTAAAATCGGGAGTCAAGGACAGCAGAAAGGAAAGCTCAACCACCCGATGGGTATCACCATTGACTCCAATGGGAAGATATACGTGTGTGAGTCTGGTAATCATCGAGTGTCTATGTTTCGAGTTTCGAGTGAGTTTGTTGATTGCTTCAGTATAGGACTAAGTATGGTTAATCCTTGTGGCATTGCTGTTGATGAGGATGGGTTCCTGTACGTGGCCTGTGATGAAACTGTGCATGTATTTTAACTTGCATATAATTATTATTACCAACACTACAGTAATAGCAAACTTCATATATCTTACTTTTATGTTTCTTGTTATTGAATATAATAATATTCAGTGTCATTTTGAAATTTTAAGATTAATATTTTTTTTACTTGTGTATTATTCACCATCATTTGAATCATGTTTTTTACCCATTGTAAATCAAAATTAATTTTAAACTACTCATGAATAATTTTGTTTGATGTTAATGATAATGATGAAGCCATGCAACGAAATACTACTAGTATGTCCCATGAATAATTATGTTTATAAATTTAAAATAGATAAGCACCTCCCATGGGGTGTTTATCATAGGGATTTACCTTGAGTTTACGGGAGTAACCGGAGTTCACGTGGAACAAATTGGCATTTTCTAGTGATGAGTCAGCCTGTTTATTTTCAATATCTGCTTCGAGATCTGCTTCCAAGATGAGCTCCGAGGACTACAGGCTGTCCTTTATAGCCAACCACAGTCGTCTGGTCAGAAAACTCACCCCCTTTGAGCTCATTCAGACTCTTTTTACCGAGGAATTGATAACGTTGACCGAGAAAGAGCAAGTGGAATCCATTAGTACCGACACGCAGAAAATCGGCAAGCTCCTTGGGATCTTTCACAGACGATACAACGGGTATCCAGACATATTTAAGAAGGTTTTTGACGTTTTAGTAAAGATAAATTCCGACGAAGGTGGCTACATTGATCATGTGATTATCAAACTCGAGGAATCTATAGAAAAACCTCCAAGTTTCTCGTCATCCCACGAATTACTGACAGAGGAAGACCGAGCGAGACTCCGACTTCACGAAGAGACCATACTCCGTACATTAGACATAGCCAATATCCTACCTGATTTAATTAGCGAGGGCGTGATCACTTTTGATGAGAGTGAGAACATTGTGTCAACAGCGGACGCTCAAGAGAGGAACAAAAGGTTTCTAAAGTTGTTGACGGCTCGTGGCTCCGATGCTTATCACAGATTTGTTGATATTTTGAAAGAGACCGAGGTCTATGAGGATTTAGGACATAAACTAGTTGGGACTGGTGTAGTGAATGGCGGAACAGATGAAAAGAAATATGGTAAGGGAGATAATGCACTGTTGATGCACTGTTCACGCAATGTTTTAATGACTTTTAGTGTAATCTTGACACTTTGTTTGTGCATGCTTGATTTTGCTTTCCTTGTAATCTGGAATATGCCAGGAGTGCAGAGTTTAGAGCCATGTTTTTTGTTATTCTTGTGTGGTGGGCTGATTAGGCAGTGATCTGGACAGTTAAGCAAAGGAAATGTATATAGTAATGTAATAATAAGAGAAGATGAGTTCGACTGATTATTGTTATCATCGGGTGTACTATAATATATACGCACTAGCTATTTCATGACTTCTCTTCCTCTCTCTCCCTCTCCCTCTCTCTCTCTTTTTCTAGTTGAGGATATCCTTAAGAAAGGTCATGTTCCTCCACCCCCACAGTATTACGTTAGGAGAACTGAGCTCATACGTAGCATTAGGAAAGAACTCCGGAAACTGATGAATACTGACAGTTGGGTCTTGCTATCTGGCTTACCAGGATATGGTGAGAATGAATACGCGTAAAGTGATGTATTTGTATTTTGAAAGCTGCTCCAATTTCCAAATACCGTATACTGAACTGTATTGTAGTGCTTGTCAGCTCATGAAGCATATGCTGTTTAGCTCATTTTGTGGTTTCCTGCATGAATGTATTTTTTTACTAAGTACATGCATCATAAATGAAGTATTTTATGGTGTATTTTTTATAATTTACTGAATACATATTTTTGATATTTTTGTAGGAAAAACTGTTTTGGCTGCTGAATCAGTTCGTAGTCTATCATTGCTCCGTGATGTGTTCATTGGTGGCGTCTACTGGCTGAGTGTTGGTAGTATGACGACTAGTGATGGTGGGATTAGTAATGATGCTTTACTTGAAAAGATGCAGAATTTTATCCTGAGAATGGATAAAGACAAATATCGTCCTAATAACCTTGAGTCAGCTAAAGATTATTTACAGGTAAAAGGTCTCGTAATGTACTGTATTAAAGGTATTCATTCTCACCTTAATTTTTTAAATTTCTTACTCTCTCTCTCTCTCTCCTTTTCCCCTTCTCAACAGACAGTAATGGCTGAGCAGTACCCGCAGTCTTTACTCATCCTTGATGATGTCTGGGAGTCCGAGACAGCTCAAGCCTTCTCTATTCGTTGCCGAACTCTCATTACATCAAGAAATGCCGACATTGCAAACGGAATACAGACAAACAACGTATACAAGGTCTCAATAATGGAGGTGAGCCTGGTCATGATATTATTATAGTAGGGAAATTATTTTTCCTGATGCATACAGTAATACAATAATAATAGTTCCTGGTTTTACAATAGCAAGTCATTATGTTGTCTATTTTTAGGGTTTTACTGTTGACGAAGGGAAAGACTTATTATCTAAAGCAACAGGTCTATCAGTTGAAGACTTACCCTCAGCAGCATCAGATATCATAAGACTCTGTTATGGATCACCCATTGCCTTAGATATTATAAGTGAGTGCTTTAAATAAGTGAGTGGGTGGAGTATTAATTAATTAAATGGGCGTTGCATTAGGCATAGCAATATAATTGTTGTGTCTATTTTAAAAGGTGCTAGTCTGAAAAGGAACCTCACTCCAGCTCGTTGGATGAGTGTGGTTGAGAGGCTTAAGAAGAAGCGTACAGGAACTCTAGCAGTGAAGGCATCCTCCATTACCACCCCTGGGACTGTTAGGAGGAGGAGTAGTGAAACCAAGAGGGGAAAAGCAAAGGTAAGCCTTTAATTATATTTGAACATGTTTATTTGTTGCTTTTACATACTGTATATTTGTTGCTTTTATTGTTGCTTTTATTTGTTATTTATTTATTATGAATGTTATTGTGTTATTCATCGCATATTGCACATGCACATACACATACATGTACATAAATTGAAGTAAACAAGTTACTGAACACACACGTACATTCATTCATTCATTACAGGATACTCTTAATGCTTCCATTGGTTTAAGTGAGGAAGGGCTCCCACAGGACGTCAGGGAACACTTTCACATGCTGGTAGTGTTTGATCCAGACATTACTATTACTACTGAAGTACTGGCTATACTGTGGAATGAGGAGCCTGATGATGCTGAGGAAATTATGATGAGTAGGTGGAGTCAAATTAACCAATTCTTTATGACATTTGTGATATGCTTTTACAGTATTATGCTATGTCGAAAGTTTGAGCTGTTTTTGACAAAAAATTTCGAGTTATGAGCATTTTGTAAAATGAGCCAATTTTTAGAAAAAAAGCAAAGGCTATAGCCCATGTTTTTTTCTGAAAATTGGCTCTGAAATCACCCCCAATTTTATTAAATTTTAAATTACATGTACATGTACATATTGATGTTCTTTTGATGTTTTTTTTTCTTTCTAGCAATTGTTGGTTGGTCATTGGCACAGAAAGCAGTGAGCACTAAATCGACTCAAGGCTTCCTCTCATTCACAGTCCATGATCTCATCATTGAATACCTTCAAGACACTGTACCTAATGAAAAACAAGTAACATACCACCAGGAACTAGTACAAAGGTAATGCATAATATATACTGTGCATGTATGATTTAGTATGAAGTTAATGTACAGCTACATGTACATTGTATATTTTTAATATAATTTCTAAAAATTGATGATTTTTTTTCTCGTTTTACAATCATAGTTACAGTGATAATTGTAATAGTGTTTTCTCTAAGTTGAACCCGGACGGCTACATACATCAGAAGTTGATCCCTCACCTTTACTCTGCTTTGATGTTTGATGAACTGGGCCAACTCCTCTCAGACATACAGTGGCTGGCTGCCAGCTGCGTTCACTGGGACCCCAACTCACTCTTAGGGCATTATAAGAAATATCGTTCGAACGTACCAGAACAAGTAGGAGCTCTTAATTATTATTATTGTTAATTTTAATGGACCTTATTCAATGAAAATTTTCTAATTAACGCGCACCTGAGTTGGTGGTAAAATGGCGGATTTTTGTAAGAAGGACAGGCTGAGCAATCTTGTCTTTTTATCCAGCCATTCTAGCTGTGAGAACCACTTTGAGCTATCCTTTTGTTTCAGTATACTCTATTTATCTCTTCCGTAAGCTCTTTGGTTGCTGTTTTGGCTTTTATAGCATTTTATCATAGGAATATTCTTACTCATTGGCAATTCCCGTTTTTCTAAATTTTGCTTTCAGGAGCCAGGGCGCTTGCCCCTCCGTTGCTATCAAGACAGAAGTCTATTCAGCTGAGTCCTATAACTAATTTCTATCATCAGACTTAGTCTCAGTCCGTCAGAACCAGGTACGGTGGAATAACTCACTCAGTTGTCATGTTGCAGCTGGAGTGTGGATGATTATGACCACCTTTTCACTTCTTAAAACTATAGGATTGGTCTTTATTCACATATAGGAATCACTCCAAGGATCATAAGTGTGCTGTAATAGATGAGCATCATGTAACTAGCTATTAATAGTAACGTCTAGTATGAAGTA